ACACCTAAATTCTGACCACTGAGCCACCAGCCAGCGTCTGCGTGCCGACTCATACTGCTGATGCTGCTGTGCGAAATCACGCATGCGCACACGCGTGATTACGTCACAAAGGAAGCTCTATTGTCAGGCTCTGGCACGTTCAAACTCATTCACTTTAGGATTCCCAAGAGAGACAGACGCGTTTCTGACCGTCCACACAGTGTTGAGTTACAGTGTTTCATTATTTCAATAAACAATCGCCATCTGTTGAAAATGAGCAGTGAGGAACACGAACAGCACTTCAAAAAGACCCCTGTTCACAATGGTGAAACTAGCCCACCCACAAACACCAGGTTACGGCTCCCAAACAAGCAGCAGAGTTTAGAAACTCAGTTGCTTGAGGGCAAAGTTTCCGATTACTTGAACAGCGCCTTTCAACGACAAAACTACGAGCAGAAACTTAGCCAACTGCAAAAGGAGCTGCAGGAGTCCAAAGACAGAGAGAAAACACTTCAATCTCAGCTTCATGTGCCAAGGAAGAAGCTCAGTCTAGCGGTGAAGGAACTGCTGCATTCAAAAGGCAGGGGGAACTTCTTAGAGTCGCAGCTCCGTGAGTCAGAGAAAAAACGGAGTATACTTTTGAAGACACTGCAGGATTCAAGACGTAACGGGGACTCCTTAAAATCTCAGCTGCTTGAGTCAGAGCAGAAACTAAGTCAAACGGCAGAGAAACTGCAGGATTCAAAAGGCATGGGGAACACCTTACAATCCCAGTTACGTGAGTCTGAGCAGAAACACCAGTCGGTTCTGACGCAGGTTCAGGAATCTTTTATTGTAACTGGCAACATTCAAGCTGGATTTGAAGGTCTTAAAAACAGGAAACGTAAGAAGATAAATGAGGGTCCCTGCACACTGAGGCAACAGCACCTGCCTCTCAGGTAGAAAATGTCTTCGACCTGACTGAGGAACGTCCCAGAAAATGTTTCAAATCCAACTTAGGTGAGACCGAACAGGACCGGCCAAACGTGGCAACTGAATACGACAGTCAGATGCTACAGGAGGCTGAAGGCATGGATTTTACAGAGGCTGGACCTGTTTCCCAGCGAAAAACCAGCTATTCAGCTAAACAAAGCTGAGGTCTCTACAAACTCAGAGACCAAAATACCTAGAAAAGCTGCTGTGAAAGCACAGAGGCCAACGCAGAATCCAAGGAAAAGAAAACCAGAACATAATTCAGAAAGTGTTTCTGTTATAAACAAGGGGCTGAAGGCGGAACCAGCAAAACAACAGAGACCTACACCCTAAATGAAAAGTTATAGGAAGAAACATGAGAGAGGAGGTGACACGTCGTCCGCACCTGGGGCGAAAACACCTGCCTCTTAGGCGAATTCCTTAGACTCAACGAAGGACTCTGAGCGACCCATTACACACCAGTTACAATTTGAGCCAAGGTAAGTTTATTTGAAGGGCTCCAGTAGACAACACGCTCTCAGCTGCCCCAGATTTATCCCAGCATCCCAACGACCCCCAGATTAGAGCTTCAACTAGTGTGGAGAATGACCAATGATTAGAAACCAGGCAGGCCAAAAACATCTGAGTGAATATAACCTGAGAAATAGTAGCCCCCAAAGTCTGAATCTAAGTCTGAATCTAAGATGCACACCCCCCCCCAGAACAAACACAGCCAGAGAAAAAAAATGCGGCTGCACGTTGGAGACGATGTAGTTTCACAGGGAGGTTGCAGATTCAAACCCCAGCGAGACTTTTTCTTGTGAAGTTAGCATGTTCTCTCTCACGTCAGCGTGGGTTTACTCTGGGTGCTCCAGTTCCCCCCACACACACGCGTCTGGCTGTGAGTGAATGAGTGAGTGAGTGAATAGGTAAAAACGTTTTTGTCACACATCAGACCCACTCAGGTGTGACCATGGCATGTGCTGTTTTCCTATGTTCCGTTTCTAGTTTCCGTTACACGTATACGTCTAACAGCGCGCTGAAGTCTCCGTTTATCTCACAGGTTTAGCTCGGAGACCTTGTAAAAATGAAACATAAATTAGCTTTGAACCAAAAACCAGCAAAGCCAGAACTTCCTGTCTGGGTTCTCCTGCACACCGAAGCAGAACTCAGTCTGCAGAGTCCGCTATAAGAGGTCCTTTATATTAACGCAGATTACTTCTGAGTTTAACTCGGCTGAATGATTTAGTTAACACATTTCACCAGAGACTGCACGTGGATTTTAGTGTTAAAATCCAATGTTATACACTCAGATTTGTTTGAAATATTCAGACTTGCTTTAATTAGTTTACATACAATCAAAATATGACTAAACTTCACTGGCTTTTATTCTAAATGTGTAAATCCCAGCTTCATTTAGAAGTGTGCTGAAAATGTAGATTTGAAATATTTAAGCTTAGAAATATTTCAAATGTACAACTTTATATTGTCAGACTTCCATCCATTTTCAGCCGCTTATCCGGGGTTAGGTCGTGGCAGCAGTAGTCTAAGCAGGGAGGCCCAGACTTCCCTCTCCCCAGCCACTTGGGCCAGCTCCTCCGGGGAAATCCTAAGGCGTTCCCTGGCCAGGTGAGACACATAGTCCCTCCAACGTGTCCTGGGTCTACCTTTAGAACTCCTCCCAGTTGGACGTGCCCGGAAAACCTCACCTGGGAGGTTTCCAGGAGGAATCCTGACCAGATGCCTGAGCCACCAAAACTGGCACCTCTTGATGTGCAGGAGCAGCAGGGCTACTCCGAGCCCCTCCCGGAAGACCGAGCTTCTCACCCTATCTCTAAGGGAGAGCCCAGCCACCCTGCAGAGAAAACTCTTTTTGGCTGCTTGTACCCGCAACCTCAATCTTTCGGTCACTACCCAAAGCTCATGACCATAGGCGAGGGTAGGAACGTATAGATCGACCGGTAAATCGAGAGCTTTGCCTTCTGACTCAGCTCTCTCTTCACCACGACAGACCGGTACAACGCCCGCATCACTGCAGCACCAATCCACCTATCGATCTCACGCTCCATTTTCCCTCACTCGTGAACAAGACCCCGAGATACTTAAACTCTTCCACTTGGGGCAGGACCTCATCCCTGACATGGAGAAGGCATTCTACCCATTTCCGACTCAAGACCATGGTCTCAGATTTAGATGAGCCGATTCTCTTCCCAGCTGCTTCACACCCGGTTGAGAACTGCTCCAGTGAGAGTCGGAGATCTCGTTCTGATGAAGCCAACAGGAACACATCATCTGCAAAAAGCAGAGACTCAATCCTTAGGCCACCAAGATGGTAATACAGACCAAGCTCTGGCACCGGTCATACAGGGACCTAACAGCCCGTATCAGAGGGTCTGGTACCCCATACTCCCGGAGTAACCCTAGAGGGCCCCCCGAGGGACGTGGTCGAATGCCTTCTCCAAATCCACAAAACACAAGTAGATTGGTTGGGCAAACTCCCATTCACCTTCCAGGGCCCTCCTAAAGGGTATAGAGCTGGTCCAGTGTTACATAGCCAAACATAGCAAAAAAAAGCCTTATTGGTTTATTTATTTTTATTCATTACTGCGGCTCGAACGGCAGCGTGCACCCCTACAGATCAGAATGATTGGCTCAGATGTGGGAAGTGTTAAATATCGAGATATTGGGGTGATCACCCCAATATCATGACCCCCAAAATTATTTATTAAGGCGTCTTAAATAGCAGCTTGCACCCTCACCAATGTCAAATCAACACGACCGGCTCGGCCGTGGGAATTATGGTATATCATGATTTTGAGGTGATCACCCCTACATCACCCCAAAATGTAATTATGTGGCTCTAAAGGCAACGTGCACCCCCTCAAATGTTACATCAAAGCAGCCAGGTCAGGCGTGGGACGTGTGGCGAATCATGATTTTTATGTGATCTCCCCTATATCACCCCAAGATTTATTTACTAATTAGAAAATTCCTGAAGAAAGTTTAAAAAAGGACCTGCCACCTGGCACAAAACAGCTTTTATGCAAATGTAAAAAAAAGTTACACACTCAAAATTTTAAAGGCTAGTTCAATATGGCCAAAATACGATAATAGTTAAAATATAAATATAATTGAGTACCATCATTTGTAATATAATTAAATAACATATTATCATTATTATTATTATAAATAAAAATAATTATGTTTATAGGGTTGCATGCTCATATACGTATATATAAGTATACACACACACACACACACACACACACACACACAGAGAGAGAGAGAGAGAGAGAGAGAGAGAGAGAGAGAGAGATAGATAGATGATAGATAGATAGACAGATAGATGATAGATAGATAGACAGATAGATGATAGATAGATAGACAGATAATAGATAGATAGACAGATAATAGATAGATAGATAGACAGATAATAGATAGATAGATAGATAGATAGATAGATAGATAGATAGATAGATGATAGATTGATAGATAGATAGATGTGTATATGTGTGTGTGTGTGTGTACAGGCTGTACAAAAAACTGGCCTAAGCTATAGAAAGGGGGCGGGTCTTATTTCTCATCTTGGTGTGTGAGGAATTGTGTTGCAGTGTTTTTTTGTAGTGCACACCACACCTTTCTGAACTGAAATGCACACCTGGGTGTAATTGTGAGAGCTATTTTAAAGTGCTTCAGGCTCTTTTCATCCTCCAACATAAGGCGCTATGCTGTTTTTTTAAAGTAAAGATACGTTGTCCTGATTTTGCTCACTTGTAAAGTTTAAATCAGGCTTTTTGTGTTTCCTGCAAATAAAAACAAACTTCTGCTCCGCTGGAGTATTGATTTAAAGCCAGTCCAATCTTCTGGATGTCATTGTGGCAGCAGCGCTCATGCATTTGCAGATCTTGGCTTTACACCTGCTTTGTTTTATTACAACCAATAAGAAATGATGCTAGGCTGTAGCCGCTTGTGCGAGGCCCAGAGGATCCACAGACTCTGTCCCTTCACAAATTTACACTAAAAGTGGTCTACGCTGTGTGTGTGTGTGTTTGGTGTGTTTATCCTCGTACTTGTTGCGGCAGTAGAGAGCCATGCACAGTGTTCCCAGTAGGCTGATTGCCATGGCGATGGATGTGATTGACAGCACCTGTCTCTTGTACACAGCTTTGCTCTCTGTGGAGAAACAAAACAGAAGAAGATGCCATATTAATGTTTGAACAATACACTCCCTGGGGAAATAAGGGTATGGATGTTCTACATGTCTGTCAGCAGCAGTGTTTGAGACGTAAAGGAAGGAACAGCAATCCTATTCTGATCCCTCTGTCATTATTCACAGAGGAGGAGTTCATGCCAAACAATGCAGCAGAGTTGCTGTTACACGGAGTTCAATGTGGTTGTGAGATTTGTTCTTATCCACTTTTAATTTCTAATGTGTTTGTCTAAAACAGCCAAACAGCCTTTTAAATCATCAAACAGCCAGTTATGGAGCAAACGGCTCTCCAGAGCTTTTTGTGTTTGCCACGATTCCTTTCAGCAGTAATTACTTTTGTGGTAAACAAAACTAAAATAAAACGGCAACTAAAAACTCATTTATAATAAAAAAACACACATATTTATAATTCTCCCGCAGCACCTGCTATTCCTAGTTACCGCACAGCTCGTTCTATCAGCTCTACCACGTCGAGTAATGGTCCGATAGACACCAGACAGTGCTTTTGAAATGGATGCCTCATGTAATGAAGCTTGAACACTTGGAAACAAGAAGAGTTATGGCACACAGGGGCACCATTAGTGGAGAAAAATGGAGACTGTCTTGTTTGTTCCGAACAAGTAAATCACAGTTGCCTTCAGATGCATTAATAGGCGATCAGTCAGACTTTATTCTGCAACGCTCAGACCTTCAAAAAGCCATGAGACTGATGGACGTCGGGGTTTGCATTGTCCTGATTAAGATGAATAATCTCTATGAATTGGCTCTGGTGGAAAACAATAACCAAAATAAGAGAAAAGCAGAGTGGAGCGCAGTTGGATCTTGGCTCAAGTTAATGGTGATAATTCACACTTTTGTAATCTGTTTGACAACAATGTTTCAAGGAAATGAATCACAAATGTCTTAATAGGTTATGTTGAAGGAGGAACCAAGTGCAGATCAGACCATGGGGACGTTAAAGAACATATATTTAATGACATAACAACAAAAGCTCATGGGGACTGTGGCAGAACAGGTAATGGTGTGAATGACATCAATGGTAACCAACAGTAAGCAGAGGAAGCGATGTATACACACAGGGGAAAGTGTGAACCAGTGAAAACAGGACACCTGGGAAGGGAACAGGTAGAAAGGGAAACAGCTGCAGCAGTTCAGAACAGATGTTGTCTGGTTTCCGTACGCCTTCTGCATGGACCACAATTCATCAAGTGCGATCAGAGCATTGTCACCGGCTGTGGTGCGGATCTGGACTAGGAGCGCTGGAGGGTTCTTGCATGGAGTCTATTCTTTCAGACACCAAATGCAAATTGTCAGGAAGTTAAAAAACAGGAAGCGAGATGTGGTTCAGCGAGGTGCATCCAGTAAATTTCAAAATAAGACCAGATTTCTTTTTCTGGCTTTATTTTTAATATTGAGGATGAGAATATCAGTTCATTGTATCAGTTCAGAGAGCTTCAGTACACGAACCACAGTCAGTGTAAAGGGCAGTGTGTCCAGAAGCCGCATAGAAACCAGTCTGCTTCCATTCTGTGTGAGATGAGATGGAAGATGAGGTCTAAAACCCAGAGAAAACAAAACCAGGCTAACCCAAGGGAACACAAGAGAACATGAGCTGGTAACACAGGGGAAAGACATATTACAAAGACCAAACTAATAAAACAATAAATAAATAAACTTAACATATACCCAAGCACCCGCTCTACTCATGGAATGTACTGAGTTGAATTTAAAATGTTGTAATTCTATATTTTCTCTGCCTGTCATGGTGCTTTCGGTTGAATGTGTGTCTAGGAGTAATTCTCTGACTGAACTTGTGCTGCCTTCCTGCAACAGGTCACCATTTGCTTGGGGCGACGGTGGCACAGGAGTTAAGTGCTCGCCCCGTAATCGGAAGGTTGCAGGTTCGAGCCCCGCTCAGTCTGTCGCTGTCGTTGTGTCCTTGGGCAAGACACTTAACCCACGTTGCCTGCTGGTGGTGGTCGGAGGGACCGGTGGCGCCAGTGCTCGGCAGCCTCGCCTCTGTCAGTGCGCCCCAGGGCAGCTGTGGCTACATTGTAGCTCATCCCCACCAGTGTGTGAATGTGTGTGTGAATGGGTGAATGACTGATTGTGTTGTAAAGCGCCTTGGGGGGTTCCAAGAACTCTAGAAGGCGCTATATCAAATACAGGCCATTTACCATTTACCATTTTAAATGAGTTTTTTCACCTGCTAAATAAATGAACACACAGTTTAAAATACAGTTACAGAAGTAACTCTGAAAGTATAGTATACCTGATGAGACTACTCGGGATCATTCCCAAGGTGCAGGACAACACCCTCGGGAAGGTGTTCAACATTTAAAACAACCTGGGATCCATCCATCCACCCTGAAATATTTTTGTAATTACATGTTGGCATCAAAGTAAAGACACACTTGCATTTGTAAAACAGAGTTACAGCGTTGGGTTGAGGTTGATCAGCTAAATTGTACATCCATCCATTGATTGTGTTCCGAGAACTTCAGTAGAATCCATGTTTGTTAATGAACACACACTGCTCCACACAGTCACAGACAAAAACATTCTCAGTAACTTATCGCCTTTTGGCAGCAGGTAATAATAATTATAATGATTCATACATCCAGGGTAACACGCTCTCTAAGTTATCCAAACACGTCTGATAAAGCTGAAGTTTTCTGCACACACTTGTTTACAGCTTGTCCTTTTTTCTTTAAGTCCTTATTTTATCTTCCACCTGTTTCTAAGATGACATGTCTAGCCAGTGTTGTTGTGATGCTGCTAATCAGTCTGCACCATCAGACTGGCTCAGAGGCTATAATTACGTGATATAATGAGGAAGAGCTGAGGGTTGTTTTAAAAAAGAACACACTGGCACGCTGAACGGATAAGATATAAAGATGTGGTTTAGGGAACACTGCACCCGGACACAAGGGCCAAGATGTTATACAGGTGAACAAACCCAACTTTTCCAATAAAATACAGATTTCAGTTCCACTAATTAACATTTTAAATAAAGTGCATAACTGTGATTTTTCCACATTTGTTTTAGAATGGAATAAAACGCCTACTCAGGAGTGCAGGACTTAAGCTAACCACTAAGGACCCTGGGTCCCACTGGAACAAGCTCCTGGTTCAATTCAATTCAGTTTATTTAGAGGGCACCAAGGCACTTCACACAGTAAACGTTCCAATACAGCTCAGTTCATTAAGCCAATCAGTAAAAGGTTTCCTATATAAGGAACCCAGCAGATAGCATCGAGTCACTGACTAGTGTCAGTGTCTTTACGACAATCCTCATACTAAGCAAGTGCGTAGCTTCGCAAGCATGTTCACATCACTGTTAAGAAGTCAGACTCATTTCTAAGTGTTTGACTCCACCAGGGTTGATTTCATCACCAGTTCTGTTGGCAGAATGTGTGGACAGAATTTCTAGACACAACCAAGGTGGTCTCTAGTTGGATGGGGTTAGGATTAGAAGTGTGAGTTCAGCCAGAGGTGAACTTTTAGAAAATTCTCTCACTTATTGATGTAAAGTATTGAGTAACCTATATAACATCCAAGTAACACAAATGATAACAAGTAAACAAATAAATCCAAATCCCAGTGAGAACATGACATAGATGGCACATCCCTATTATCTGATCTGGTTGATGCTTTTGTCTCAGAACCAAATCAGTGCAGGTTTTGGATGGATACATCATCAAATATTGCCGTTATATTTATACATCATAAATAATTTTAGCAATGTCTCACATTTCTGTTCCCATCATCAGTGGATTGTAAATGTGAGCTTGCAGGAAATGTCAAAAGTTTCCAAGGCTCCTTCAGCACTAGTGTCATCCAGCAGTTGCCAAAGTTGTGATGACAGAGTGCCAATTTGTGGAGCCCATGAGGGTTGCACTCATGCACACATCACACCCACTCTTCATCGCTGAATCGCTTCCTGCACTAGCTCCTCACAACACTGACAGTTGGGCTGATAAGTCATTTTAAGGTCTTAGCCTCAACATTTGTGCTCTGCACCCATCATCTACATCAGATATTTTAAAATTGTGATTTTGTCACTGATCTGGACTTAGATCATGTCCTAAAAGCAAAAACAGATCTGCTGTTGTGACCGGGGCTCTGGTCTGTTTCCTCTGCAGATGTTGTGCAAACGGCAATTAGTGGCAGAAGTTACACCTGAGCCCAGAGTGCTGTTACATAAAACGTCTCCTTGTGCAGCAGCCTGAGTTTCTCCCTTCGGAGCGGAGACCTACTCTGTGGTGGAGTGATCTCTAGATTCACAAACTTGCCCTGGTTTTTAAATTTACACACTTTAAACTACTGACGTGTCAGTTCTCACAGAGCTTATTGATTCTATTGCTTTCTTTGATTCAGATTTTGTGAGAAAATCCAAGTAACATGAAATGATGCCTTCAAAAGCCTTGGTGCCTTTTTGCCAACTACAAACCTGCTCTGCTAAAAAGAAAAATCAGCAGAACCATGGCTGGGGTTTGGCAAGGCCTACATGAACAGGCTAAAAATACAGCTGGCTCTCCTCTAAGTCAGACAAGTCCATGGTGGTTTTGAGCAGGAACAATTATCAGTAGAAAGACTGTGGTAGGAGCATATCAAGGCCCTGGATGCAGCAAGAAGGAAAATGATGGCCCTGTATCCACGATGCAGGGTCCACACACACAGCTGGGTGGTTTGGTAGTGAAACATTAGAAATAGGACCAACCATACCGACCTCATGGCTAAGTTATGACATTATCACATGAGAGTATTTTGCTAGCAGCTGCATCATGGACTAAGAGAGGACGGGGTCCAGGATGACCATGGGGGTATGTAGGAGCATCACTGCAGAAACCTGCTGCTTTCTGGTGAATACACAGAGCAAAGCAGCAGCATCAGTTCCGAGCCATGTTAACCTGCTGTCACCTAACCAAACCCCATCACCTGATGAGCTGAACGCAGAGAC